CTAAGCACAGGATTAGATTGTCTGCAGACAAGGAAAATTTGACCACTTTCTTATTTGCATCCACTTATTTCTCTTGTCTAGTTGCATTAGCTAAAATTTATAGCTGTATTGAGTAGAAGTGGTCAGAATGCACAATCTTGTCTTGTTCCTGATTCTAGAGAAAATATTTTCAGATTTTCCATACTCAGAAAGATGCTCGCTGTTGGCTTGTGCCTGAACTATATAGAAATAGGACATTTTATTCCCCAATTTCTTCAAGGATTTTATAATCAGATAAGTTGAGTTTTGTCTAAAATCTTTTTCTGCATCCATTGAGATAACTGTGATCTTTTATCACTGATTCTATTTATGTGATATAGTATGTTTGTGTATGTTGGGCTATCCTTGCATTTCTAGATTAAAAGCCATCTAATCATGGTATACGGTCTTTTGAATGTGTTGAATTTGGTTTGCTAGTATTTTATTAAGGATATTTGCATTTATGTTCATCTGGATTATCTTTTTTTGTTTGGTGTTAGGGTAATAGTTGCCTTTCAGAGTGACTCTGGGTGGATATTTTAACTTTTTTCACATAGAATAGGCTAAGGAGCATTACCATGAGGTTCTTAAAGGTATGGTACAATTTAGCCCTCTGAGCTTTTCTTTATTCAAAGAGTACTTCTGGTCCTGAGCTTTTCTTTATTCAAAGACTACTTATCACATCAGTCTAATTGGTTGCTATTGATTTGACTAGGATATTCATATCTTTTTGGTTGTTTTGGTGAATCATATTTATCTAGAAATTTAGTATTTGCTTCTAGATTCCCCAATTTATTAGAATATAGGTTTTCAAAATTGAGGTGTCTGTGATAACATCCCTTTTTCATTCCTAATTGAATTGATTTGCATATTCTCCTCTTTGGGGTACTTTGGTTATCTTTTTAGAAAACATTTTCTTTTCTTTACTGATTATATGTACTGTTCCTATCTCATTAATTTCAGCTCAGATTATTATTTCCTTGTGTTGATTTTTGTTTTGCGTTCTTCTTCATTACCTAAGACCTTTGGTTGTGTTATAGTTTAAAATTTGACTGATGAGTCCATCTCTCACACTGTACAAAATCAATTACAAATGTTCAAAGACACAGACATAAGACCTGAACCTGTGAAACTGTTATAATAAAACATAGGAGAAACACTTTGTCTATAGGCAAAGACTTTCTGAAGAAAGGACCATAACACAACAGGAAAAACCAAGAATCAACAAATGGAACCACATGGAATTACAAAATTTCTGTACAGCAAGGAAAACGGCTAACAGAGTGAAGCAGAAGCTTTACAATGGGAGAAAATCTTCCTCAGCTCCTCTTTGACAATGCATTCAGACCTGGGATATATTACAAATCTTAAAAGCTTAATGCCAATAAACCAAATACCCCAATCCAAAATGGGCCAACAAGCTGAGCAGATACTTATTAAAGTACAAATGGCTAAGAAGTATATGAAAAACCTATGCAACATATTTAGATATTAGGAAGTCTAAGGCAGAATGACTTGGAGTGCCCCCAACCCCATCAGTGCAGCTGTCCATAAAAAACACAAAAAGGCACCAAATGCTGATGAGCATGTAAACTAGTATATTGCCCCTGGAAATCAGAGTGAACATTCCTTAAACTAAACAGGAGCTCCTACTGGATTCAACTATATCACTGCTGGGTATGTACCAGAAAGACTGAAGTCAGTACATCATAGGGGAGAAGAGAACATGGCGGACAGACAACAGCAACTACCAGAGGCTCTCTGAAAGATTCGGCTCAGAGGCCAGAAACGATGCGGACTAGGGAGACACGAATCAGCAGCGATATGCTCTGCTGACTCAGGAACGAACTCGGCTGAGAGAATCCAATTTGGAATGCAGTCCTGGCACTAAAATAGGAACAGAAAAATCTCGGTGTAGAGGCTCGACCTCGCGCCATTGGAAACCGCGATCTGGGTTTCCCGACGTCCGGCGACTGGCTGCCTCCACAGTGGCTCGGCAAGGAGAGACGCGCCGAGCTCTAGGAGCGCCGAGCTCTGGGAACGGGAGAACGGAGTCGAAAAAAAAGGACGGACAGAGGCGTACACGAAAACTGACTGCTGGCGAGGTGAGTGAGAATCTGACCCCCCACCACAGTTCGACTCTAGCGGAAGTCTCTCTGGGCGCCATTCCCCTCTCGGACGGGATTGGAGAAAAGTGCCTGGCCTGAGTGACGCTGCTGGCGGACTCTCTAGGCTAGTCTAGCCTAACCCAGATCCCAGAGCCGGATGATGGCCCGGAGGAGCGACTGACTTCCGCGTAGGTTGCCTCCTCCGACTCCCTGGTGCGCAGCGGTGGGCGGGAACAACTAGCCAGCGCAATTTGATCAGGCTGTGGCTGACAGGCAGGGAAGCCGGGCCTCCTTTGTAAGATTGCATTTTATAAGGAACAAAAAATATGGGGAAGGGAAGCAACAAAAAAGGCTCCTCGGCCCCCAATCCTGAGAAACAGGCAATAATGGACACCGCACCAACATACATTAAACACCATATTGAGAGCCTCATAGACCAATTCAGGAATGAAGTTATCAATGATCTGAAGCTAGAAGTATGCAGAATAGTTAGAGAAATGCTAAACACCACCCAGGAAAAAACAGATGGTGGAATGGAAGAACAGAAAAAGAGGGGAGAATTGCTTGATGGAGAAAACAGAGAAAGCATTGAGTATGTGAAGCAGGTTCAAAGGGACTATCAAGAAATTAAGAAGTCTATACAAGACTGGAATAACAGCTTGAAAGAAACTAAGGACAGACTATCTGAACTGGAGGGCAGACTTGAAATATGGGAGAATGAAAGGAAAAACTTCTTAAAAATAGCAAAGAAACAAACAGCAATAATACAAAGACAAGAAGATGATAAGAGGAGCCACAACGTAAGGATTAAGAACATAAAAGAAGAAATAGGGACACAAACAAGTGAATTACAAAAGCTACTCACAGAAATAATCCAGGAGAATTTTCCTAATTTAGCAAAAGGTAAAGATACTCAGATGTATGAGGCATACAGGACCCCAGCTACCTACAACCCTAACAGAGAAACACCCAGGCATATAATAATAAAAATCCCAGAAATTCAATACAAGAACAGAATATTAAAGGCTGTAAGAGACAAGAAACAGATCACTTACAAAGGAACACCCATCAGAATTACAGCAGATTTCTCTTCACAAACCATCAAATCACGAAGAGCATGGGGGGAAATAATTCAAGCTTTGAAGGATAATAATCTCCAGCCAAGATTGAGATATCCTGCACAACTGTCCCTGGAAATTGATGGAAAAACGAGGTGCTTCCAGGATAAAGAGGAACTGGGGGAATTTGCAACCACCAATTCAACTCTACAGAAAGTATTGCAGGATATTCTAAAAAAAGAAAAATACAAAGAACCCAGAAATAGTGGCAGGGAGGCCACAACGTATGGAGCAGAGAACAAAATGAAGAAGACAAACTGACAGCTACTGACAGAAAAAGAGCTCAACAGAAATGAGACAGAGAAGATTGGATGATAGGAACAGCTATTTTTGAGAAAATGACATCTTAATAGGTAATGCTGATTTAGTACCATCTTGTTTTGAAGTCTCATCTAGCTTTTGTTCTTCTGTCTCCAATGGTCTAACCAGGTTGTATCTTATTGGTTTTTGTTTTGTACGTTAGTATAAGCAAAAACCTTTTAAAGACAAGGAGATTATACAGAGACCATTGTTCATTTTCTGTTAGTCAATTCCAAATACTCTATAATGCTGTCATTCTCTTAAATGGTTTTACATTGTTTTGATATACTTAATGCTACGGTATATGAAGTTGTACTCAAGGACTTCAGGGAGGGAGTCAATATGGTAACTATTTTTAAGTCGGAAATATCTGGTGGTGAAACACTATTCTGCTTAAAAGGTTATGTTTTGATCTGCCCTGTTTCGCTGTTATGCCCTTTTTTTTTCTTTTTCTCAATCTCCACTCCATTATATACTTTTTTATTGTTATCCATTTAATTAAAGGGAAAAATATAGCAGGATATAATATAGTAACCCACTTTGACTTTCTATTATCTCGATTTGAAGCCCTGTATTACTCTCACCATCTTGTTTTTGACTGAGGTTCCTCTATTCTGTTTTGCTGGATAGTATCAGGTTCGAAAGTTTAGGCATCAGCTGAGAAGATAATGAGATACATTATAACGCCCATTCTCGTTGACTTCTATCAACTTTTGAAGACCTACAATATCTCCAATGTTTTGGTTTTGTCGGTTTTATCCTTTACGGTTTTGTTCAATAGTATTACAACTAATGATATAGGCAATTCTATTAGAAATAGCGGGAGGCATTAGGGTAATCATTGTTGATCACCTTGTATTATATTTTTATATTATCTATTATATCCACCCTTTTGACTTGACCGACTCTGTTCTGTTATGTCACATTTGGTTTTACTCTCTTCCAAAAAAGCAATAAGAACAGTGGGAGCAATGAAACCCAAAATGTGTAATAGTCACTGTACAAAAGAGAGGAAAAGAAAATGCTCTAAACTATATAACTGCATGTTTATTTAAATGTATAAGACAGAAAATGATATCACAGAGTTCTATTGGATCATTGAACAGAACTGTTTGCAGTATCATTGTTGGAATGTCCACTCTACAAACTTTGATTCTGTGACTTGAACAATTATTTCTAAGATGGCAATATGTAATCTATTAACTAGTGATTTCCTACTGCGCATTTTTTTTTCTTCTGTAAATCGGTAAAACTTGTACCCTTCACTGTTTTTTTTTTTCTTTCTTTTCTTTTCTCGTTAAATAAAAAAAAAAAAAAAAAAAAAATAAAGTACATCATAGGGAACCTGGCAGCCCCATATGTTTGTTACAGAACAATTTACAATAAGTGCCCAAGATAGAACCTTCCTAGAAGCACTTGAACAGATACAGAAAATGTGTACATACATAATGGAGTATTATTCAGCCATAAAAAAGTGACATTTTCCTAAAGGAAATGAATGGGTCCACAGTCTATCATGCTGTGCAAAACAAACTATCCTCAGACAGATACTGCATGCTCCCTCTAACTTGTGTACTCTAAGAAGGGTGACATGAAAGCATAAAGGAGACAGGAGGAAGGGAGAAAGCAGGGCGGAAACGAGTGAGGGAGAGTAGTGGTGAAACTCCCAGTGTTTTGTAACATTAATAGACACTGGTAATAAAAGGAAAACTAACAATAATCATCATATTAAGCACAAAAGAGTGAAATTCTGTCATCTGCAAAAACATGAAAACATTAGAAATCATTGCCCAAAAAAGTAATAAGAACTAAGGAATAATAAAATCCAAAATGTGTAATTTTTGTTGTAAAAAAGAGAGGGGGAAAAAAAAGAGCTCTAACGGACATAACAGCAAGTGTGTTTGGGGGTGTTAAATGGCTGACTATATTAATGTTTTTGGATCATTGAACGCAGCTGTTTGCAGTCTCTCTGTTTGAATGTCCACTTTGTATTCTTTGATACTGTGATTTGAGCAACTATTTCCAAGATGATAATATGTAATCTATTAACAGGTGATTTCTTACTGTTATGTTTTTTTTTTTTTGTAGTTCTGTATTACGTGTACCCTTACACTGCTTTGTTTTGTTTTGTGTTTTTCTCTTTTTCCTCTTAAATAAAATTTAAAAAAAAGAAATCATTGTGTCAAGCAAAATCAGCCCAGCACATACAGAGCTAGAAAGTGTTTTCTGTTACCTACTTTCTGCCTCTAGGACATCAGGAAAGCAGACAGATGACCAGGAGAGAGGAGGAGAGAACAAGGAGAAAGGGGAGCATAGGTGAGCTTACAGGGTGGAGATGATCGCCATAGGCTCCAGGCACATCCACATGCGCCAAAACCTGACGCACTCAGTTACTACTCACTAATGCAAACACTGAGTTGCTGAAAAGGACATTCCTCTGCTAGGCATTTAGTGACCCAACTACTACATCTCACCAGATTTGAAACAACTGCCACTAATGAGCATGGTGCTCCCTCAGGAAGGGAGGAAGTCACACTCTTTCCTATCCCGTTACCACATTCGCCACCTTACCCTGGATCTACAGTGATACATCTCTGCTCTGTTTGCAGGCAGAGGAAAATCACCAAGAATGAAGATAGCCATGAAAGGTGGCCTAAGAGGTCTACCTCTGTCACTCTTTATAAATGTGACTTGGGCATGTTGGGAGAAAGCTGGAAGAAAAGAGGACAATCATAAACAAAACCCTGTTATTCACAGCTGTGGGCAGAGAAAGCAGACCTGTGGGCCTAGAGAAGGTCTGGAAAGCTTTCTTGTGAAGAGCTGATGATGAGTGGAGTTCTTGGGTGGCTGGAATTTTGTCACAATAGGCTTTCTTCTAAAAGGCTAGCAGTGTTTTGAGATCTGCTCCAATTGCACAGCTTCTGGTGACTGTTTGGGAACTGATGATTCTGTGCATGGAAGCTTCCTCTGGGCTGGCTACTCTTTTCTCTTCCACTTTTGCAAATTTGACTAGAAAGAGACAGAGTAATTTGAAAGCTTCTTCCTACTGAAAGCTCACCTTATTTCAAGTTGTAATTTCTGTGCTCCTGGGACATTTAGCTAATCAGAGAGGTAATGTACTGATTTTTATCCCAAAGCTTTTCCTCTCACACCTGTGTCCACACCAACTCCCTCTGTTCTCTCACCTATGGGCAACGATGCTGGTTATGCTCTGAAGTCATCATCAGAAGCCCCGCCCATAGAGCAGACAACAGCATTGAGTGCTGCAGAGGGAAGAAAATCCATCACACACCCCAGGGATGGGAAGGCATGCACACAGCTTGCAGAACCAGCAGGGGCCCGGGTCCTGTCTGACCAGGCACTGCCCAGACTAGTCAGCTATTGCCATTCTCCATGGGGTCACTGGTGCCAAGCATGCAAACTTTTCAGAGGAGATATTCTGGTTTTAATCTACTATCCTCACACTTTGAGTTTTCACAACAAATGCAAAAAGCACAACAGAGGGGGCCAGCTTTTTGTCTCTGAAGTAGAAAAGTTCACAGAAAATATTTTCCACTTGTGAAATGCATTGGAAAAAAAACAGCAAAAGAACCTCTGAGAAACAGGAAGGTGCAATTTGATATGCTTTTATGAAAAGCTCTTAGCATCTGCAGATACCTGCAAAAGGCTTGGCCAGAAAACAGGAGCACACTGAGGAGCAGCAGGTAGAGGCAGCTGACTGAGATGGTGTGATCTATGGATCAGCCACATTCCCACCTCCTCGCTGCTCCTCATACTCCCTGATCTTCATCAACAGGCTCCTTTTGACCTGGTCACAGATCTTTTTGAGAGTGTCCAAGTTGTCCTGCCCAAGCATGGCCTTTTTCTCCATCTCTATGAAGATCTCCAGCATGTTCTAGGGAAGGAGAAGTAGGAGAAACCTTGACTGGGCAACATTCACTCTCAGAAATGTGTTCAATTCCCCTCCCCCAAAAAAGGCCCATCTCACTGCCCAAGAGACCCTGCCTGGATCATCACATTCCTGGGGCAGAGGGAAGTAGAGGCAGTTGTATGCTTCCTGGCCACAAAGAAAAGGCTAGACAAGCCACATTTGGAGTCTCTGGTTTGCTCCCCATATTATAGACAGCTAAGTTAGTAGAAGTATTATAGGCAGCAGACAGGGCTGGGTGACACAGAAGAGCTGTGGTTCTGCGCACATCACTGAAGGCCAGGCTTGAAGCAAAAGACCTGCTAACCCAAGTATTTCTTTAGGAATGAACCACAGTGACTGAGGCTCTGAGAAGGCAGCAGTCACCTTGGCTGGGGTAAGCAACTATATTTGTAATATTATTGACTGATCATAGTTCTGTTCCCCCCTTCAGCCTGCCTCATCTCTTGGCTTTGCTCTGTAAACACACTTGAGAAGCAGGGCACTTTCTGTTCATCTCAGACAAATGCATTCTTTCTTTCTCAATGAATTCTTCCTATTCTTAACCCTCTGTCATTCCCAGAGAATTTATTCCTTGATGTCAGAGAATACGAACTCAGTGTTTCAGACATCTATCAAGTTGGGAGTTTCAGTCCCACGTTACCTAGGCCCAGCTCTCAAGACTTTATATGGACACGTTGCAGATGATCCAGTTTGAGTGTGCAGCGAAATCACTGTGGAAATGCCCCAAGATGGCCCTACACCCCAGCACAGCCTCTGACACCCAAGCCTCCTCCAGACCTGAATCCACCCATACATGTACACACACTGCTACAGAGACATACAGAGGCAGAAGCATGCTGGGCACCACAGGTTACAAAGTGACACAGAGGTGTTCAAGGTTCTCATTGTCTGCCTGGTGTGCTGGGTCTGGAAACTGCACGTCCTCTGGTCAGTGAGGCTCACAGAAGGGGCTAGAGTCTGCTGAGGGCAGTACAGGGAGACTAGCACAGGCGTGGGGACAGATCTAAACTCGGTTCCTTCAGGATGTTGCTTGCTCATTCAACTACTACTTCTAGGCTGTTCCTGGAAAAGGACCCTCCTCCTCCTGCCCCTGAACAGGATAAATGTGGCTAGCTGGGGATTTGGCGTCTCCGTTCCCAAGAACACTGATTGTCTTATAGTCCTATATTCTCACAATTCTTGTCCCTTTTTTTTTCTTTCCCACAATACACTGTAATTTTGAGTTGGAGACTTGGGACACATTGCAGGGGTCCCTGATAACTGGCACTGTAAAAAGGGTCTCCAATAGCTAGGCACGCTGCACATGCAGTGTATACCATGCATACATATAAGACACATAAAGCCAACATAAAGCACAGAGATGGACACACATACCACACACAACAGAAATACACACAAAGCCATATACCACATGCATGTGGAGTTGTCTCCAGCACTTCAGAGGGAGACTCTCAGGCTACCACCCTTCCTCAGCCAAGTCCCACACAGCTGAGCTGCACACCACCTGCTCCTACTGCTTCTCACTCCACCCTCACAAGGGCCTAGACTGCAACTCTGCCCCTCATTGGCCTCAGGAACTCTGGGTGGAGGCCCTTTAGGACTCAGTCTCAAGAGAGATGGGGTCTCACCATGTCATCCAGCTTAAACTTGGAAAGGTTGGTAGACAGGAGAAATCTAAAAGACTTCAAGTCGTAATTGTTTATATCTTCTGCGAGCCGAAGGAGCATGACCCTGTGGGGAGGAAGAGACACTCTTGAATGCTGACTGCCTGCAATCTGTCACCCACTCGAGCACAGCGGTGCTGACCTGGGTCTCTCATCTCCACTGAGCCAGTCAGACATGCCCAAGCTGTAGCTCTTATGAGTTTGGTGCTATAATTTCGGGGTGCATGTCTCAAGGTATGGTGATGCCTCTTAACTCTCTTGAGAAGATACCTTTAATAGTAAAAGCTGGGTCATATGGGATTTCCAGCTTCAGTTTCTTGACTTTCATGCTGATTTACACAGTGATGTGTTAGTTGACATTTCCCTCCATAGTGCTGAAGGGGCTCATTCTCCCCACAGCCTCTCCTGGGCTGACCCTTGATTTTCCAAACCATGATATGAGTGCAGTGTATGGACCCTGCACCCCTGGAGACTCTGCCCTGCTCCAGAGGGTGCGACGATGCTAGGAGAGCCATTTGTTGTGCCTGACTCATGCAAGAATGGAGTCTTCACAGGACCAAGCATGAAGGCTAAGATGAGAGCCCACAGTCCCACTCTCCTAGTTCTGGAGTATTATACTTCAAAAGGTCCTTCCTGCTGCAAGGATCCAGGCCTGGCCCAAGTCTAGATTCATGATGTATTGTGGAAAAGTCCCTGCAGATAAAATTTCAGTAAGTAACACTAAGTTAATCTGGGCACAGGCCAGAGCCAGGGCCACACAGGTAGAGAGAATCATAGAGACACAGAAGGGAGGCCGGGACTTCAGGGATGCACCTGGAGCAGCAAGGACTGCAGCCAGGAGGGAGCCTCCTCGAAGGTATTGCCGGCATCTGCATGTCTGAATTTGAGCCCCAGAACTGTGGGAGAATATACTTCCTGCACCTTTTCAAACATGTGGCACTTTGTCACAGAAGCCTAAGGAAACCAGTGCCCCAGAAATCTTGTCACAGGAGTCCACACAGGGTGAGGCCATGCCAGAGACACCAGCAGGGGGCGTAAAAGGACAATGACTGTCTACCCTGGGGTGAGACCACCATGGCACTTGCCACAGTGAGCAAGACATGCCCAAGGCTGAAGCTGAGGAGGAGAGCTCCTGAAAGTGAACACTAAAAACTACAGCAAAAGAGTCTGAAACTGAAACATGAAAGAGGGAAGGTGACAGGCTTTTCAGGGACCATAAAGCTGTCACTATCAGTGGCCTGTATCTCAGTCCACAGATGCCACAGAGCCCATGGAGCACACACAGCCAGGGAAAGGCTGAGCTCTGTAGCCTGTGGCTAGAGGCGGCCTATGTCCACAGGCAGCTGAGATGGCCTTGAAGTTGTCACCTCTGCAGACAGCAGAATCTGAGGCTCTAAGTGTGGACTCAGAATCCTGTGGATTCCACTGCACTGGCACTCTGGTGGGAGACAGAAACCCTCAAACACAGGTAAGCAGGGCCATCAGGAGGCATGGACACCAAAGAGGGTGCAGGACAGAGGGAAGGAATGAGAACATCTAGAGAAACTTTTAATTTTGACAAACTGGTAAGTAAGGTTTCACTTGGAATAATTAATTTTACCTCATGATTCTAGCATCTTTGCTCTGGATTACACAGAAGACCCCTCTGTTTCTAGACTCAGCCCACACACAGTGCTGCCCAACAGGCCCCAAGCTGTCTCATTGCCCTGAGGCTCTGGTCCTGCAAGGACTGGCTCTCACCTGTAGGCCGAGATCTGGGCCTTGCCAGAGGTCCGGAGCTCAGCCTCCATCTCCTCCTTGCTGGTGTTCATGTAGGTGCCCAGCAGGTCCAGCCTGTTGATCTGGAAGAGCAGCTCCTTCAGGAAGGACAGGTCACCTTCCACCAGTACATTCTTTTCCTGGAGTCTCTGGAACAGCATGTGGGCATTCAAGATGGGCTCCTGATTCTGCTGTGGGATGTGGTCATGGCTCAGGAACTTGAGGGCATCGAGCTCTTCGCTGTTCAGTTGCTCCCCAATCTTGGAAAGAAGGGTGCTGAAATTGAAATCCATGCCTCTCGGAGGGACCAGTGCGGTGCTATGACCTAGGCCAAAATGCAGAGCTGTGTTCAGGTGAGGAAGAAGAGTGCTGCCCACCAGCTTGGACTTTATTGAGTGGGGCTGTGTCTGCCACATGCTGTGGGTATAGGAGGAAGACAGGCAAGGAAACAGAGCAGCAGGCTGTTGAGGGAGGCAGACCCAAGGCTGCCATGAGAAGTGGCACCAGGCACAGAGGACTTCCTGGAGACAAGAGACCCGGGCAGACAAGACAGTGGTCAAATGGAAAATTTTCAAAAGATGGAGGTGAGGCCAGGTGTGGTGGTACAAGCCTGTAATCCCAGAACTTGGGGGGCTGAAGCAGGAGGATCATCATGAGTTCAAGGCCGGTCTGTGCTGCGTAGTAAGTTCACAGTCAGCCTGAACTGCATAGCAAGAACCTGTCTCAAAAAAAAGTGTTATTTTCTAAAAACTCCAAACACTGGGAAAACATTAATTTTTCCCTTTCAAAAATACCTTTCCTTGGCCAGGGATTTAGAGCAGTGGCATAAGTGCCTGTCTGGAAGTTAGAGGTCACGAGTTTGAGCCCTAGCACAAACAAAACATAAAATAAAACATAAAAAGAAGAAAAAGAATGAAAAGTTTTCTCCTCTGTTACAGCAGCATTTATTTTTGTGTGACAATTGAAAATACAGTAAACTAGAAAACGCACACAGTTAATTATTACCACACACACACACACACACACACACACACACACACACACACCTACCAGTCCTGATACCTAACCAGAATTCGGCCACATAGACCAATGTACACGCACTGATGGGACTTTCCACTTTATGCTGATAGTGAAACTTGGCCTGCACCCTTAAACATTGTTCTGGGGAACATCTTAGCTTTACTTGATTTATGATTGTAAATATACCAATGCTTATCGAGGTAAATCTTCTATGAATTTACAGTTAAAAATAATTATGACAGTGAAAGACTTTCTCATATACCTTACACATATCCCCAGTTAATTCCTTAAAGACAATTGTTAGGATTTGGATCATGAGGCAAAACATTCTCTTGCTTTTATTCTGAGTCTATGGCAATGTTTAGACAACAGCTTTGACTATGCCTCTCATTATCGGCACAAAGTCTGCAGGACCTAGACTTTCCATGGCAAAACAATGGATTGCTCTGAAAGTTGGCATTGTAAATACACAGCCAGCACCTAACAGCACATATTCAAAGTACAAGGACAAAAGCTGCATGCAAGGGAACGACTGGTCCACTTGCACCTGCAGTGAATGATACACAGCAGAGCCTCAGAAGAGAACTGTGCACAGCACTGAGTGACCAGCACAGCTGAGGAGGAGTAGTCACTGCTCCTCCCCAGACTCCCTCAGAGGAGAATGACATCCCATGTAACAAGTGGCCAGCGACTTGATTGCACAAAGGTGAGACAAACAGCTTGTCACAGAACAAAAACCACACCACCTATGTTAGGAAATGTGCAGAACAGTATACAGACTACCAGAAACTTCCAGTGCATGGCACAGCAGTCTTGATGCCATCCCTGGTGTGGGGTGAGAAGGGAGAAGCCCCGACCCTCCTCTCCCCCACTCAGCCTGCCTCTCAGAGGAAAGTGCTGACACATGGTGGCAGGGAGCAGGCTCAAGGATGCCTGTGCTGCACAGGTGCAGAGGCTAGTGGGAGGAGAGAACAGGAGGGATGCCATCCTCTGAGTTCTTACTGGGGCCAGCATACTTAAGAACAAAAGAGGACTGGAAACTTGTCTTCCCACAAATATCAAACTATCACACATTCCTCAGAAAACAGCCCAAAGGGAAGGGAAGGTAGGAGAGTGTGAGCTTTCTACCTCCAAGGTCATATTGCTTTAGGAGATTTAACACCCACACCCACACACTCATGCACACACACACACACACACATACACACACACACACACACACACACACGCTTCTTTCCAAGCACTAGCCTACCCCTCAACACAGCAAGGTGACACAATACAGAGATGGCCCTCCTGCCTTTGAACCCTTGGTTCAGCAGCCAAACAAATATAAGAGACCAAAGAATTCACTTTAAAACAATCCATTACAGTCTGCTCACTCCATTGTCCTGATGACTGTATTTCACACAAAGCACTTCCTGCCTTAATGACATCTTCTCACCTAGAACTAATTCACTTAATACTAATGCAAGACCCTATAATCAACATCTCGGCTAGCTGCTCCCTCAGCACAGCCACCTTACTTCCCATCACTGATGAGACCCCTGGCCGCATTTATATGTGGTCATACAAATGAGTGCTCCTCCCTTCCCTCTCGTTACCAGTATTCCTGTGCCTACAGCTTCTGATACTCAGATCACAGATGACAACACAAAGAACACAAGCACTCAAAAGACATCAAAGTGTCTATAATCAATGTATCTAAAGCAATGCAAACAAGCCTACTACCACCCAAAACATCTTCACAAAAGCCAAAACTAATCACTGCCAGAGACACAGCTCAGTGGGCAAAGCACCTGCCTGGCAAAAGGGAGGTCATGAGTTCAACCTCCCAGTACAAAAAAATAAACAATAAAAAGAGAAGAAAAAGAAGATCCTGCAGAAGCACAGCACAAAGCCTTGCTGCGGGCTCTTTCCTTTCCTTCAGGTCCAAGTTGAGGCTATTGGCTGCAAACTCTTAAAGGAACTCAAAACTGAATGAACCAGATTCCAACTTGAGAATGTCTCAGGGGACAGGATTTTTCCTGTGCTTTGTGCCTTTTTAAGATTCTTTTCAGCTCCCGCCCAGTTAGCAATATCTATAGGGCTTGTCTGAGCAAAACATGGATTGTATTTAGGTACTTCTTTCAACATCTTTGCTAGGTCTTTCTGTGGCATTTAGATAGGCTTTGGAGCAGCAATATGTGCATCTCTGCTCCTTGGCTGAGAATTTTTACTCCATGTTTACTCCTAGATAAAATGGCTTCTTCACTGCACAGACTCACCCTTGTTTTCCCTGTCCTCTCCAGGGGTCCCTGGTGAAGTTTCCATCTTGGGAAGGCCTTCCTCCTACCCAGCCTTTCCACTCCAGGCAGACACACTCGTTTAGGCTAAAATTCCAATTAGCTCAAGTTTATGACTCCGGGAGATTGTAAAATCCACTGCAGAGCTCGCGAGTCTTTAGGTGACCTATATATATTTCGTATTCAAACAAGGAAAAAGTTAGAGTGGAAAACGCAGGACACCTGAGCAGGACCTAAGGCGTGCTTCAAGGAACCCTAGAATTAATAGGTTATGTTAATTAAAGAGAACTAGCCTAGGAGAGTCTCCAGGTGACTTTCATACAGGATTGAAATACCCACAGCTACAGTCTCTATCTTATTAATTGGGGTTGGAGCCAGGTGTCCTCAGCTGTAGCCTATCTTGCACTTTGAGGCACTTCTGTTCTCAGTTGAGCCATGCCCCAGGAATGCTGCAGCCCTGCCCATGTATTCAGCTTTAGTGGCCCCCACCGTTGCCCTCACATGGGCCCTCACACTTACTAAAGACAAAATCACAAACAGTTACACTGACTCCAAATATACATTTAATATCCTTTACTCTCATACCACCTGAAAAAAAGATCTAATTAATACTCAAGTGATCCCCATCACTAATGCACCTCTTACTCTCAAACTTCTAGAGACAACACAACTTCCACATCAGGTAACAATCATTGTTTATAAGGGACACCAAACATCAACAGACTGTTGGAGAGAGAGGTTAGGAGACTTGCCAGGCTCATTCTGCCTACATGAAGGAGGGCTGTGTGCCCCTGAGGCCCTTTGTGACCCACCACTGACTCAACACTGATGCACAGCCATGACTTCCCCTGACTGTCCCACTTTAGCAGGGAAGGGTAAACCCTTGAGTCCTCTGGGTCCAGTCTATGAGTTCCACATGGGTAAAAATCAAGAGGACAAGACAGACTGGGCGCTGGAGCCAGTACCCAGCCTGCAGTGATCTCACTGCCACCCTTACTCAGGCACAGTGTGTGCAACAGCTACGAGTTCCCAGTCCCATGTACCATGAGAGTAGAGCTCAGCTGTTACATGGCAGGGCTCATGCACTCGAGCAGCCTGATTTGTCAGCTTAATTAGATTGACAGTCCTCTAGCATGCTAGTACAGCATCCTCCAGAGTGAATGGGGTGCATCATACATGGTCCTGGCTGGGTTTCTTTCTACCTCATCCTCTGGCTGAGTTGAGCCCCCTCACCCCTGGGTCTCTGCCTTGGAGAAAAAATTCTTTGATACAGAGCAATTTCTGGCTTGTGTTGCAAAGTGAAAATGTATGTTGTAGAGCAGCATCACGCACAGCACAGACACTAGGAGTACATAAGGGCATTGCCTCCGCATCCCATGCTCTTGAATGTTGTGGATCCCTGACTCCACATTGCAAAGCTATCCAGCAATTTCCAAAAGGAAAATGTGGCTTATTTCTGGGTAGTTATTGATTAAAGTACTGAAAACCAAAACTGATGACCTAGCTGTGTGGGACAATCATCATAGTAGTCTCAGTGAGCCACAACCACATCAGATTGAGATGGACACAGCTGGCTATACAGCAAAGCTCCATCTGTAAGAGCTCACTACAACCAGGAGCCCACCGCTGCCAAGGACCATCCCTGAGGGTGTGGCTCCTCCTCAGGATGTCCCTCTCCTAAGCTCCCTATTGTTGCATTGTTTGGGACATTCTTCTTCATCTATGTAGTCACCTAAGTAGAAGAGAGAATGTTAATCATCATGACCACTGGAAGTAGAACATCACTCATTAATAGCTTGTACCAAAGGGGTTTTGAGACCCAAATGTAATGAACAGCCAGGAGAAAGGAGTCTCCCACCTGAATGCTGCAGGGAAGCTTGTGATTGATAATTACTCAGCTCAAAGAACAGGATCACCTGGAGGTGCCTGTGTGTGAGGAACAGGTACTGGGCATGTCAGAACACTAAGAAGGCAGCACCCAAGGAAGCTGGTTGGCTACCCCAAGACGACTACAGCTAGGCGGCAGAAAAGATGGCTGAAAATGCACCACAAACCCAACTATAAGAAGGAACAGAAGAGCTGCTATTAAGAGGCATGAATGGCTGAGCTTTGCTTGAGAGCCAACACTGTAATAACGCATCTTATATTTTTTCAGAGCTATGCAGACTTTCCTCAGAGACCTAATGGTTCAGTGAGTATTTGCATTCATGGTTTTTCACATTTTATATAATCTTTACTTGGAGTTACAGTTTATATACCACTGTACAATTGGTACATTTGGTACTTGGACTTTTTTCATTTTAGATAATGCATCTGTCTTCCTGAAAGCCTCCCTTAGGGTAGTGTATACGTTATTATCAGCCTGCTGAGGTTTTCACTTGCTTTCTAGTTGATCTAGTTGTATCACTTGTAATTTGTCATTTGGTTCTATGATGTATACCTTATTCTGCTTGTGTAAATTCTGTGATTGTTTTAATTTCAATCAGCATATTTTACTTCTCAATTTGAAATGTACCTATTAGGGAAAAATATGAAAGTTTTAGGAACATAGGTCTCAAATATAAGGTATCATTAAGAATAGAACTTATTTCTGAAAGTGTTTTGATACAATTACACCTCAGACTAAAAGCCAGTCTTCCTACTAAAACATTAATGTATGAGTTTCTTTTCTGTAAAAGGCATCCACTGCTACCTTTGGTAGTTTGTGTCATGCAGTCCTATTCTTTGGTAAAGTGCTGTTTTTGTTTTTGTTTTTAATTTTAGAGACACAAATGGAAAGTAGAAGAAGATGCTTGGATCTGAACATGCTGTTGTGGAAAAATAGTTATCAGAATTCAAGGTAAATTGGGTTAGGGATCCAAAGATACATGTCAGAAACTCAGAGAGTGGGTATGAATTATATAGAAAAAGAAGGTTGCTATGCAGTGGCAATGACAAAATAAGAAATAATACAGTAGTGCCTCAGTTCAAGAATTTAATTCATTCCACAATTCCTGGGAAAATAGCCATGTTTGTGTTCATGCATAATAGATGCCTGTGATGCCAGCACTTGGGAGGCTGAGTCAGGACAATCATTCTGTGAATCCACGCCACTCTCAGCTACATAAGCAGTCCAAGGTCAGCCTGGAATACATAGCAAGTTCCAGTCTCAAAAAAACCCCCAACCAACCAATCAAACAAACAATTATCATGGTGGTAATGTTTGTTGCCCAATGGAGAGTTTGAAAACAAACAAAAATTTTTGGCAAATGCTTCTTTTGGTGAACCAAACTACTGGCAAACAAAAGTACTCATGAACCAAGATACCGCTCTATTTATTCAATTGTAATTCTGAAGACTGGCACTAATGTTAATCAGGGCCTGAAAGGAATATATAAAGCTGAAAATAATTGTTACAGTTTGGTGTGTAAATATTTAGATTTAAAAATAGAGTCAGTAAAACGTTAGGCTTCATGGTCCACCCCTATAGTCCAGCTACAGTACTCTGAAGTCTGAGGAAAGGAGGTTGCTTGAGCCTAGGAGTTGAGACCAACCTGGACAATACATTTAGGAAGAAGCCCACTCAGAAGAAGAAATGCGGCCAGGCATAGTGGTGCATGTCTGTGATCCCAGCACTCAGGAGGCTGAGGCAGGAGGATTGCTGTGATTTTAAGGCTACCATGGTAGCCTGGCTCACAAAAGAAAGATGGAGAAATAGAATAAAGGAGAAAAGGAGGGATGGAGGAAGGAAAGAAGGAAAGAATGGAGACAAAGCAACAAACTGTATTTACTAGAATGGAGCCTCCAAGCTTTTTATTTCAAGTTAGCTTAAGGTGGCCCATTCCAGCAAATCTGGGAATAATGTGTTATTTCTAATCATATTTCATGACTGAGTATGTTCAATTGTATAATGTAGCCTTCCAACTTAATTTGTTTAACTCTCATGATTATATTGAAGAACCAGAAATTTAAAGGTTAAAAACAAGATGCTGTTTCTCAGCTAGAAACAGCACTGGGCCTCGTGACTCAGTCCTAACTCAGCCCTGCAGGAAGATAAAAAAAAAAATATCTGTGGCCGTGATGTTCTCGGGATGTGCTGTGCCAGGGAACTCAGAGATAGAGCCTGCCATTACGCTAATCAGGGTTGTAAAATATGTCAGACTCAAGTCTACAGAAACCAGGTGTCTTAAAGATAAGTTGTGCAGAACAAAGACAGTTAATTAACTCTGACCCACTGGTCATCCCTTATGAACTGACCAATAGCAGATAGATAAGATGCCCACCGCTCCGCACTAACTGTAATGATTGGCTTCTGTAATAAACGCTTACACTGAAGTTTTTCCCCCTTAAAAACACCAGCCTTGCCCCAACTCAGGGTTCTCCATTTCCACCTGTTTGGAGGACCCCGTGTGCATGGAATAATAAAAACCCCTTTGTTTTTACATGAGAGCGAGGCCCTTGGAGTCTCCTTTGCGACACTGGTCTTACAATATATTATACTACTTTTTTCTTTCTTGCTTTTAAAGTGGCCCTCATGTAAAATAGATTCTCTCACTTGTTAACTATTAAGTTCCGTTTTCTTTTCTGTGCTGGTGTCTTTAAGCATTACTTGACTCTCAGATCACCAATTATTCATCAACTTTACACCAAAAAAGACACTTGTAGCAGCCATTTATTAGGTTATTCAAGATTTGAATAATGAGGTTTGAAAATTGATAAGAATCAAAATGCCTACATAGAACAATTAAATATGTGTCCTAAAAGAGGAGGGTATGTTTTGTAGGTTATTTTCCTTGTGGATCCAGATATTTTTCTTTCTGTTGCTCCATTCTGATAGTTGTTTTGGTTTTCTCCATTCCCTTCCTGTCTATATTTTAAAACATTTTGATCAAGTGTTTTGCTCTTGATGGCAGTTTAATTTGATTCTTGATCTCAGCAATAGCCATATCACTGTGTCATCTGTTTCATTGTGAAACTTTTCCTTGCTTTCTGTTTTGAAATATTTTCTGCTCTGGAATCCAGATTGTAATGTGTACTGATTTTTTGTTTATTCTTTGCTTTGTTTTTTATTAACTTATTTATTTCTTTTTTTTTATATATAAGCATGCCTGAACCTAGGGATTAAACTAGACAATGTCTGAGATTGTGTTCCTTTCTCAGTTCATGATGGCATCCCAATAGCTTCTTTGATTTCCATTCAGGATTTCACCATTCTTCTCTTCCAAAATTTGTTCATGCAAAAAAAATGTGTGTGAGCATATGCATATATATATATATATCATGAAGGGAGATGCACCAGTAAAAGCCTTCTACACTTGTGTCTCTCCACAGTTCCAAAATCTGTTGAATGCCAATAATTTAAGCTACCCCAGTTCACTGGTTTATTTCACCAGTAATCCTGGCCCACTTGCAGTCATGACTGGTGACTGCAAATTTTTTGTTCAATTTCAATCTTAATCACTAAGGTCTGTAACACTCAAATCACACCACATGCTTCAAGTGATTACATTAAGTTACGTATGTTAGAGAGTGGTAGGGGCCCTAGGGCATTGAGGGTGAACCTTTTGGTGCTTTCAGTGATGCAAACATCCCAGGCTGGGATATGTGCCATGGGTTCACCAGCACTGCCTTACAGCCCCTGAGAGTCAGTTGGTCATGAATCAGATAATGCACTGGGCACAGGGACATCAAGGCAAGGGGCCTTGGGGCATTGAGGTTGGCAGAGTGGATGGCATGGAAGATTACATTGACTGAGTGCAGGAATAGACAGGAGCTCAGTGTCTGGCCATCTCCTTGGCAAAGGCCATGAAAAGAAGCCCAGAGTGGTTCATGGGGAGTGAGTGACAGGCCCATGTGCCCTGCTGCAGACTGAACAGCCTCTCCTCTATGCCTAAAGCTCTGATTCAGTTCAGCAACTCCAGGAAGTCTGGGTTCATCTAGTCATTGCCTGGGGTAAGACAGGGTTACAGGATGAGGGACACTCCTGGGAAGAGAGATTTTTCAATACAGTGACACTTTTCCAAATAACTTTCCCCTTGTTCTCAGGGCCATGGTTTGGCTTCATACTTGGCCACTCTTGCTCTGTGAAGCACACTTGTCTTCCACCTTCCACACTTGTGACCTTGCAATCCTTTCTGTATGACACATCCAATTCTTTGTTGGGGGCACCAAGGGCTTGGAAAGGAGCATCTAAGACCTCCACCCAGTGACAAGTTTGTGTCCAGTTGTGCTGAATGACTAGGTGTTGTTTTACATACCACGAGAGCCAATTCCTTAATTTACATATGTACTATTTATTTCCATCATCTCTTTTACACACATATGCCCACAGAGGTGACAGAGACAGTATCATAGGGAGGAGGCCTTAACATAAGCTGCATATTATTTTGGCATGAAGCTCTTTAGAAAACAAAATGATCTGCCACTCATGCCGTGATTCCTTGACATTTTCCTCAGGTTAAATGGGGTAAGAATTTCCATTTCTAAGAGACCTTTGCATGAATTCCCCTTTCCCTAATTCTCCTTTCTAAGTACAATTAACTTCCCTGGCAAGAACTCAAGAGATTTTCACAAGACAACTGAGAAGTGGGCAATGGAGGCAATCAGGGAAGTGCCCTGCTTTGTGTTCTGTGCTGTATTTTTGTGCCCACAGAGCCAGCATGAGAGAAAAGAGGGCCAGGACCATCCACAGGCCTAGAACTTAAAGCTTAAAATAATAAAAATGACAAACAAGAAAAGCCTACTATTTGTGGACCAATAACCAGGTGAGGGGCATCACACAGAAACAGCCAGGGGGCCCCATGAGTCAACACAGGCAGTGACAGCTGCTCAGCCACTAGCAGGTGGGCTGGTGTTGGATGGGGTCTCCCTCCAAACCCCAGCAGTGGCTGTGTCTTCAACAAGGAAGCGGGACAGCAAGTGGCAAGATCTCTAGGTCTGGAGGCATGCTCTCACTGAGTGTTCAAGAACACCTTTGAGTGAGGCCAGCTCAGATGATGATGCAGCCCAGATTTTAGGAGGAAGATTCTTAGTCATGGCTGCATTTGATGAAAAACCTCGCTGTGTGTCAGGCTGCTGCCAGAGTTGCAGGGGCCACACATGGCTTTCCAGGATCTTGTATGTGGCAACAAAGAACTGCATGTGACACACAATGGTAAGGAAAGGGCAGCAAAGTTTAATACAGTTGAACTAGGCAGGGGTAGGCTCACATTGGCAGAAAGGAAGATAGCACAGGTGCTGAAGATGCTGGGTTTAAGAATGTAAAATATTATTCCAGGTCTAAGGTGCCTCCCATTTGGTCTTCTAGGAGTGATTGAAGGGGCTGTGTCCACTGGACTTGTCCTTTTTGTAGTTCACTTTGTTGTAGTTGGATGTATGAGGTGCAGACCATATGCATGAACTTGGGTGAGCTCCAAGTGAAGAAAGACTATTTGCCAGAGGACCTGGCTTGCAGGCATCTTATCTCTTCCTCTGGGTAGTAGGCCTCAGGTCAACATGGGAATTGGCCCTGGGGCATTGTCCATGTTCACAAGAGTGGAAGCAGTGGTCCATCAGCCCCAATTGTACTACCTACACTAAAACCACAGGTCCATGACCTCATATGACAGACACTGCTTTATCCATTCCCTATCGGGTCCTGACCTACATCCTAGATCTCCCAAATGAATGTATGGCAGAGGTTAAATTACAAAAGACAAAGTGTATGATTTTTTAGGGCTCCAGGAGGGTCAAAACCCTTTAATTAAGCCTGAGACTCTGATGGTTAAGACAAAAGCTTCTCTGGATCGGTCTACTTATATTAGGACCCGGAACAAAAGGCAGAGAAACTGAGCAAAGCACAGGCAATGAGCAGGACCTTGG